TAATCTTTAAGCCTTGCATAGAATTCTCTATTTTCTGTTGGAATCTATGAATTTTTATTTTTATGAAACCTATAAGACTACAGCCTATGTTATATTATTGAAGACTTTACAAACTCGAATACTTATGTGTACATTTAAAATTGGCCAATTCAATGTTGGGCCATTCAAAGTTGGACCGAACACTATACCTTGTAACATAGGGTTCTTCAACTAATTTAATAATAATTGTAGCAACAACAACTTACTCCATATATAACTCATTGATCATCTTTGTTGCCATTGAACATCTTCTTGAAACATGACACTTTCAATGTTATAACTACAAGTATCCAGTGTTGGACATCATCCACCCATTGAAAATAAGCATATCTCCAATTCTTTACAAAAATTAAAGTTCCCACAACTCCCCAAAATCCAGTTGCAAAGCCTAACAACACAACAATGTAAAACCACATTCTTTTAAGTGCACCTTCATCATTGTCCTTGAAGTTGGCGGTTGTTGGAGGTAGTGTGTCATTTGAGCATTTGTTCAAGAGTGGAACTCCACAAAGTTGAGGATTGCCAGCATACATGGTTGGATCTTCGAGTGTTTGGAGTTGATAACCTGTTGGAATTAGCCCTGACAAGTTGTTGTAGGACAAGTTGAGGTGGCTTAACTTGGTTAAACTTGACATGCTATTTGGGATCATTCCTGAAAGGCCATTCTTGGAGAAATCAAGAGATTCCAAATTCTCCATTTGCCCAAGTTTCTCAGGGATCTTTCCTGAGAGATGATTCCAAGACAGATTCAAATTGTGCAAATCCTTAAGCAATATTAGCTCTTCTGGAATGGATCCTATTAGATTGTTACTTGAAAGATCTATACTAATCTCAAGTCTCAGAGTTAGTCTTTTATACTCAAGGTATCTCCCTTTCACAACCTCCATCAAAGGTGCTTCATCCCAATATCCACCATATAAGTCATGGATCAATTGCGTTGCGTTCACCATAATCGGAAACTTTCCAAAACAAGGAGGAATGCTTCCTGTCAAATGGTTATCTGCAAGATCTAGAATTTGCATATGAGAGAAAGAGCATAGTTCCAAAGGAATATAACCAGAAACCAAATTTTTTCGCAGACGGAGAACCTTTAAAGAGTGGTTGCTGATCTCCCCCCTTACAATGCTTGTTAAATTTCCAGAAAATTTATTTTCACCCAAATCCAAAACCAATAAAGAAGTGAAATTTTTCAATGCCACATGCAATCCCTTATGGAGACTATTGTTGTTCAAGTGCAGTAAACTTAAAGAAGAAAGCTGCACCATTGTGCTCGGAAATAAACCTGAGAGATTGTTAGAAGATAGATCAATAAAAAAGAATGATTGATCATTTCTCCAACAATTAGGAATACTTCCAGATAACATATTATTTGAGAGATCAAGATATCCCAAAGATTTTGAATTGCATAGCGACTTTGGAATATTTCCATATAACATATTGTTTGAGAGATCAAGTATTGCCAAATATTTTAAATTGCATAGTGACTTTGGAATTGAACCTTTCATGAGGTTATTTGCAAGATATACTTCCTCCAACATTGGCATCATATGACCTATGTTTTCTGGAAGAGGACTTGAGATGCTAGCATTAGAGAGATCAACCGTCTTTATTGTCTTTGGTAATTGAAGCCATTTAGGAAATCCTATTCTAAATTGATTGCTAGAAAGAAATATTCTCTCTAACTTAGAAAGTTGCCCGATGCTATCTGGAATACTCCTCAATTGATTCTCAGAAAGATCCATGATCTCTAACTTAGAAAGTTGCCCAATGCTATCTGGAATACTCCTCAAATGATTCTCATAAAGATACATGATCCGTAACTTAAAAAGTTGCCCGATGCTATCTGGAATACTCCTCAATTGATTCTCAGAAAGATCCATGCCCTCTAACTCAGAAAGTTGCCCGATGCTATCTGGAATACTCCTCAATTGATTCTCAGAAAGATCCATGCTCTCTAACTTAGAAAGTTGCCCGATGCTATCTGGAATACTCCCATTCAATTGATTGTCAGAAAGATCTATGCTCTTTAACTTAGAAAGTTTCCCAATGCTATCTGGAATACTTCCACTGAATTGATTGTTAGAGAGATCTATGCTTTCTAACTTAGAAAGTTGCCTGATGCTATCTAAAATACTCCTCAATTGATTGCTAGAGAGATCTATGCTCTTTAACTTAGGAAGTTGCCCGATACTATCTGGAATACTCCTCAATTGATTGATAGAGAGATCTATGCTTTCTAAATTAGAAAGTTGCCCGATACTATCTGGAATACTCCTCAATTGATTGATAGAGAGATCTATCCTCTCTAACTTAAAAAGTTGCCCATACTATTTGGAATACTCCTCAATTGATTCTCGGAAAGATCCATGCTCTCTAACTTAGAAAGTTGGCCGATGTTATCTGGAATACTCCCACTCAATTGATTGCAACAAAGATATATGCTCTCTAACTTAGAAAGTTGGCCGATGCTATCTGGAATACTCCCATTCAATTGATTGTAAGAGAGATATATGCTCTTTAACTTAGAAAGTTGCCCTATGCTATCTAAAATACTCCCACTCAATTGATTGTAAGAAAAATCTATGCTCTCTAACTTAGAAAGTTGCCTGATGCTATCTGAAACACTGCCACTCAATTGATTGCTAGAAAGATAAAGAACTATCAATGAAGTCATGTTTTGGAGAAATATAGGTATTGGACCTTGGAAAAAGTTACTTGAGAGATCTAAGTGTTCAATATTGCCAAGCAATGTAAAATTAAAAGGATGGTTGTAAGATGGCAAGTGACAATTTTTGAGACTACAGCTTGACAAACTTAACCATGATAGTGAAGGAAGCATGCCCAGTACTTGAAACAAGTTTGATGATGTATGGCTTAGATTCATTCCGCTCATATCAAGAAATGTCAATGAAGTCATGTTTTGGAGAAAAATAGGTATTGGACCATGAAAAGAGTTATATGACATATCGAAGTGTTGAATATTTCCAAGCAATGTAAAATTGATGAGGTGGTTGTGAGATGGTAGGTGAGAAGTTTTTAGACTACAGTCTGACAAACTCAACCATGATAATGAAGAAAGCATGCCAAGTACCTGAAACAAGTTTGATGAGGCATGGCTTAGATTTACTCCACTCATATCAAGTCGTTGCAAAGAGGAGAGATGAGAAATCCACTGAATATCATCATCGACCTTCAATTCCCCATAATAATATGAAGAAAGATCAAGGACATGAAGCCTTGTAAGATTTCCAAGTTCCGTAGGAATTCTTCCTCCAAACTGTGCATAAGAGAGATTTAGGTACCTCAACTGCTTCATCAAGCCAAAGGAGGGTGGAATAAGATTGCCACTGAAATTATTGTTGCTCAAGTCCAGGTGTTTCAAGTATCTCAACTTGAGCAAACTTGAACCAACCTCCTCTACATCGTCAATCAAGTACAATTGAGGTCGTTGATTAGCAAATACTGATCCCCTGAGTTGAAGCGAGATAACATATCCGTTATTTTTGTCACAGCCTACTCCTCTCCATTCACAGCAGTCATTGCTTTTCCAAGAAGACAACATATGCGATGGATCATGGAAACAAAGTTTGAACTTCAAGAGGGCTTTTCTCTCCTTTTCTATACAGCTAAAGCTTGTGTTCCGACCGGAACAAAACTCTGCAGCTCCAAAGAACAATACAGCAACTAGAACAAGCATAGCACGGAAAGTTTCCCTCATAATGATGTTTTGAATATTGTATGGAAGATGAGATGTCATATTTAATTTTGCTTGTACATTAATATATAGTCCCATGGCAAATAAAACACCTTTCCCCGAAGTTACACTAAAGATAAAGATTCCAAGTAAGGGATTTAAAGCAGCCTATTTTTGTATTTCGATCATGATCACTCGAGCGCGTTCGCCAAGACTTGGATGTCTTTTTAGTCCTTGTTGCTTTCAAGTCAATTTAATTGGTGCTTTCATTGTCCTTGTGCCCCACCATAATAATAATACAGCTTTTACAGGTCTTGTGATACTGTTGTGCAACGTGAAGACTGGAAAAGTTTGAAAAATGGCTTTCAATTCTTAGAGATAACTATGGTTCGTGGAAATTTCTTCTCTTTTCACCTATCATGGAAATTTTTGGTCATCATATTGTGTGGAAGATTAGATATTTAGATGATCTTAATTTTTTTCTTTGATAACAGATGATTTTACTTTTATTATTATTTTTTTTTTTGAACTCGATGATTTTACTTTTAGTTCTTTTGATGAACTGGATGATTTTTAATTTTGGTTGCACATTAATATTACAATGGCAAATCTTAAGCTCTTGAACTTACCCTATTTTTCGACACAAGCCCCTAAGCTACCTTTTTAAACTTTTAAGCCCTTAACCCTTGTATTTATGCCAGAAGGAAACCCTTTGTTAACGGTTCCGCTAGTTTCCGTAAAAAAATTCTAATCACAGCAGTCAAAGAAAAAGGTTGAATTGTAGTTTAGTCAATATATACTTTCATATTTAACAAAAATTACTTCTTTCATTTTTAACTAAATTTGCTAAAAGAAATTAAAACAAGAAATAAAAAGAACAAATAATCCTATGATATAAAATTAAAAAAATAGTTCTCAACATGGTTTCCACGTCACAAGTCTCGATAAATCTGTTAATCGTATTTCCGACGCATCCCAAAATCAACTTACAAAAGAAAAAGAAAAAAAGAAAAAAAGAGAAGACTACAGTAAAATAAATTTTGGTTATTCAACTCGTTCCTTCTAAAAAAGCATAGAGATCAATATATATATATATAAAATTAATGGCAGCTCTTGAAGACTTAATTTAATAAATAATTTAGTAATTTTTGTATTTTTTTTCTTTTTTTAATTATTTTTTAAA